TATCTTTAGTAACTGACCACAGAGAAATAAAACTGAAGTCTGCTTATAAAAGCCAGCATTTTGGCCAAGAAGAGACTTTTATTTCAAGAGCTTCCTATTATTAATGTCATATTTGGTAGAGATTCCAGCACTTTGGGTTGGATTAAGAAGAAGAAAGTGGCAAATTAAAATGTTCCGGTGAAACTCTCTTTGTTATGGAAACATCAGACATTCCATTTATCCAGCAGCTGCATTTGTCTATCCCAAATGCAGCTGGAAAAAAATGATGCCTCTTCATGGGATTTTCTGTTCCTTCCTTCCTTCCAGAACACACACATCTTCCAGCATTTCTTCTAGGGCAGATGATACAAAGACACAGAACTCATTTCTCTCCTCCCCCAAACCAAGGAGCTGTAGCTACAAGATTGACTTAAATAAGAAAATCTGTGCTCTGAGAGAGGGGCATTTTGGATACGGGGGTTTTGATGGATCCCTATCTACTTCTTTCTTTCTGTGTACATATATAAGCGTATGTATGTGACATTCAGACAAACACTAGTTTCAGGAAGGAATCATTCATGTACTTTTAGCCAACTATGATTCAGGTGTCTAATCAGAGCTGGGTGATTAGCCTTTCTCCGTGGGCAACGAAACATGAGCACTTCCAGAAGGCAATTCACGTTATTTATCATAAGGCAGGATGAATTGCCCTACGGACATTCCTGTCTTCCCTGACAACTGCAGAGGAAGCCTAGATAACCAGCTTAGGCTGGAACCCTGAAGGAAGCAACGTAACACCCATCATAAGTTTAGAGTCTAATTAAATCACCTCAGCTCTCTCTTTATTAATAGTAAAGAGGGATGGCCTCCTCCTTCATCTTTTATCTTGGACACCTATTTTATGGAGGGGGGACTTGCCTCCTGAAGGCATCTGTCTCCCTCTCTGTAGACTGTAGCAGCAGCCTAGAAGGTGAGGTTAGACCAAATCTGCCTTAGATGCCAACCTTGGGCCTAAATGTTGGTTGACTAACAGCAAGAGCCAAGCACCTCTCATTGCTCCAGAGGGATCTCCTACCTGCCTGCACGTAGGTACCTGAATTAGGAGAAAAGGTTCCTTCCAGAAGCATTCAAGGTGCTTCTCTTCATTGCCTGTACCATAAATTATGCCCTTGCTTTGGGAAGGCTGATATCTTAAGTACCTACAATATAGGTGCAAATTAGAGGCCAAAGTCAGGCAGACTGGAAGCAACTGTGGTTGGTGGTGCACTCAAAATACGTAAGATGGTATTTAGAGGACAGATCCCTATTCCAGCTGCTATTTATCATCCATTTTCTCCTGAAGTCCTATACTGCAGTAATCTTGTATGGGTCACAGTTTGAAGAAGCTGACTAACCACATGATTTCCCTAAGCGCAGATAAAGTATATCAACTCCTTTATATGCTCTATGCCTGAAGGAGCAAGCAGTAAGGCAAGTACTCAACCCCATACCTGTCATAAAGTAGGCTCGAATATTCACCACAAAAAAGAATATACTTTAAAGGGGATTTTATGAAGTGAACTTAAGGAAACCTAGCACTCCCCAAATATGTTTAATATTGTATAAAATTGTTTCTGAGGTTGTTAATGATAGCCCCACAGCCCCTGAGGTTACTGCAATACGTCCTACTGCAGGACCAGCTTTGGGCACGCACCCATCTTCACACATCCCCATCCCTCCCCTGCACCTCACTTTCGTCCCTTTGTGGGCACAGTGAAGTGGAACAGACATCAGGAACATTTCACACCCGCTGTTCCTAATACACCTAATCCTTTTCTGATGAAAATTTAGGATTTCAATCCTTTTCACTGAGATGAACGTCGAGCCCTGGCTTAGGCTCGAGTGCTGCGCAGCTCCTGACGGGGACTGGTTAACCCGTTTCCAACAGCACAGTGCTTGGTACGGTGCTGAGCTTAGGCTCAGGACTGGACTAACCCAACCTCAAAAGGACCATGCTCATATATTTAGAAGATAAATCACATGGAACAAGAACTTCTCTGGATGAGGACCAGAATGCTCAGCACATTGCAGGATTAACCATTTTCTGAGAAACTAAGGGTGTCTCAAAGTGCGCTCTCATTATCAAATTTGTTTAATAAATAATAAATAACTTTGGAATTGTTTTGGTCAGTCAAACCTGGTTATCATCTTTTCACTACAGTGCAATAAAAACAACATATTTTTTTCCCTGCTATTCCTAATTCTCATCAAATCGCCTTCCTCAAAATGGGCAATAACTCTAGTTCTGTTATGCTTTTTGTCTATATTTTGGGTTTTTTTGAGGAGGGGATAATTGATCTTATTTGGTTTTGAACATTTCACTTTTACTCTTTTGAGACACTGCTGGCTATTCTACCATCAGATACCAACTCCAGCACACAGTGGAATCAATGGCAGAACATGAGGTTAACAATAACTAGCCTGGGGCAAAGAACAGCCGAAGTAAATACTCTGAAAGATATTCTTTTTCTGCATGTTTATATAGATGCACATAGCATCTTCATGAATAGATCATCTTCTCATTGACATTTCTGCTGACCTATTGGTGCCTTCGGTTGGAATGGCATTAGAGTTTAACCCTAGGATGCACTGATTGAAATGGCCTTTATATTATACTTAACATAAAAAGATCTCCTTTATTCTTCAATAAAAACTGCCATTCTTGTTTTGATTTCTATAATAATACAAAGATAAAAATCACATAAAGCTTAAAGTACCATCTCAAAAGAGATGCTAACAGGAGAGGATTCTAGACCTGTTGTATTTATAAACATACTGACTCGGTGAACTATAATGATTTTGTATTATTAAGGGCATGATCCTACAAAGTACTGAGTGCCTCCTGCAACTTGAGTCCTTGACTTTCATTGACTTCATGGGGTTTCTAAAAGGACTAGGCTTTCCACTGCAAGTATCCTCTAAAAAGCACATCTTTAGAAATTCCACCCCATAGCCCTGAGTTTATTGTCTCGCAAAGACACATTTGCTCAGTTTACAGGTGAATATTTATTTTTCTCACCCGACAGTTTTGCAAACTCAACTAGACATCAAGCTGGATTTTTCCCTATTCAAGCATCATCATCAGTAATAAAGGTATTTTTGGCTTGGATACACCTGTGCAACTCCATTAGTCTTCATCAAGGTTACATGTGTGCAACTGAGGTTATATATGGAAGACAACTGGGATAGAGAGACCTGACTGTGGACACAAATCGACCTCTGGATTATTTATTGCTGCTGATGATGTGAAAGAAGGCAAAAAGTGGTGAGGTTGGCAAATGGGCTAAACCTTTCACTATTTTTTTCTCGTAACACATGAGCCTTATGTGAGCAGCTGAAAGACAATAAAAGCTGAAATCTAGGGTTTTGCTTTCATAGTCTCTTTTCAGAGCATTTAAAAAGGTTTGGGGTTTTTTTTGTTTTAAATGAGCAGTGTTCAGTCTAAAGTATATCTCCATTTGATAATAAAGCAGCAACATTCCTCAGTGTGCTTCTAGAAATAGATGCTGCCTGGTGACTTCTGCACACAAGCAGATGTCTTCGCAGCAAAATCCAAATGACAGTCTTTGGCTAGTCAGTTATTGGATTTCTGTAAGCTGATTCTAAGATTTTCTTTCCCTATAGACTCTACTTCTTATCACCCTAAAAAGCATATACTGTAGCCTTAACAATTAAATGATAATGAGCAGACAGAAGAGAAAGGACAGGAGAGATCTGGCATCGCTACAGCTAGCAATCATTAGATTTACAGAGGGGAAAAGACATGCTTCCTAGGCCAACATATTTTTTATGAATAATTGATAAGGCAGTCAGCACAGTTATATCACAGAAATGTAATATATATCCATAATTATAAACCCAGCTTTGTGCAAAAGGACATAATACACTGAAAGGAGATACCAGCCAATATGCCATCCTGAAATAAAATACAGTCACTATTGTGTTAGTTGGCAAAATTTAAATACAGGATTTGAAGCAAGCAAAATGTTCTTTAATCCCATTTTTTAGCACAGTCCAGGCTCAGTCTGCTCAGGAAAATACTGCAAGGCAAAATCAGCAGCTGCATTAATTTGCTGATGATTGAGAGAAAAATGAAAGTTATCCTCACGGTTTTTTTCTCCCTACTTGCTACTCTAACTTACTAATAATACGAGAGTACCAATTTATTCCTATGCGAGTATATGAAGCATACAAATTGAAAAATCAATGTAATGGAAAAAAAAGATTATCATGCACTGTTTAGAATCAATCAGCTAGAAACAGAGGGGGGAAAATGCGAAGGCGGAGATATGATGTTTAGAAAATGTACGTATTGTACCTACCCTAAGCTAGATTGTTTGTAGGAAAAAACTGCCCTTAGTCTAACATGCAGACTGAGCTATATTTTGACCAGAAAATCACCTTATTTCCAATCTTTTCTAGAGAAATTAATCAGTTGTCTTTTCTTCTTTTAAAAGTCCCCAAATAATAAAAATATCAATCCCTTTGCCCATAAAAGCCACACAAAAGCATGTAACAAAGATTTCAGGGTGAAGGGATCACAATACTCAAAATGCTTTATTAGCACGACGTCTCAGCATCGTTCACCAGAACACTGATGGCTTATTGTAGCCCGAAGGACAGACTTCTGTCGTATGTGACAGAGTCCCTTGAAAACATCGGCAGCAATAGTTTTTAGTTGTGGTCTGAATCACCATTAGCAATTGAGTTTAAAACTTAGATGTCTCAGTGGTGGAACACTTTCTTCGGCCAAAACTGGCCTCTACTGATCAGAAATAATTACACTGTACGAGTCAGATGTGTAACAAATGGGTCTGAGTCTCAGTTTGGAAATACATTCAGAGGAGGTGGAAAGAATGGCTACTGGCTCTGTGACAGGAGATTCAATCTTCATAAACCTGCAAGAGAGGGGAGGAAAAAAAAGCGACACAAATGCGCCCTACAAAAGAACAGAGCAGATCACAGCTGGAAGGAAGGCAAACCTTTTAATCAGGTCCTTGAAATACAAGCTGCAGGAAGCTAGAACATTTTGGTGGACTTCAAACTCTTTGCCTTCAACAATAATTTTCAGGTCTGTAAACTCTTTCGCTCTGCGTTGCTGGTTCAACTCCTTCAACATTTCTGCAGAACAGAGAAGACAGACAGTGCCAGGGTTCCAATTAAGAGTTTTTTATTTTTACTTTTTACTTTTCATTTTTTTTTTTTGTAAAGAAGTAGAGAAACAGGAAACAACTGATATTTTTGTCGGTAAGATTGGCTCAACACAGACAGTCAGAAGTTACAAACATAACATATTAAAAAAAGAAAAAGAAAAAGCAGGAACCAGTAGGTCTAAACAACTGAAATATATATACAGAAAAAAAGCAAAAACGATCCTAAATTTGGAAGGGTTAAAAACAAAACCAAAATATTTCAGCATCAGCAAATCAGAAACACAGAGAATGCATTATAACAGAAAAGTTAAAATAATTTGTTATAATAAAAATCAAGAGCTAATGAATTTCTATCCAAATGCAAATAAGTTTTGAACTTACTAGAATAATATTAGTAAAAATACGGTATTATGATGCAATATGAACTGGATATGGGTCAAAATAATAAAGCCACAAAACCTGCAAAAATAACTTATCCTTAACATAGTAAAAATGTGTTAAGCCTCTCAGTTAACAGAATAAAACAGCACCTCTAAATAATATATAAATTACAGTGCATAAAAAATTAGCCAAATTATCAATGCATCTTGCAATATACCTCAGCTATAAAGACTACAATTGCGTATGTTTCAGAATTAGCTTAAGAGCATCCTTATGATAAAAAATAATCTCACGCAGAGAATAAATTACTGCCTTTTATAGCAATTCCCATATTTTGCACTCCAAGGATTTTTACCATCACAGCATTTTTATTTTTTAGCCTTCAATGGCTTCATTTACAGCAACAATCAACTTTCACACATCATGAAAGAATCGTAATGATTAAAATAACCTATGAAAGTGTTTCCATCCTGCAATAAAGCACCTACCTTGCGTGATGCCTCCTTTTATAAAGCCTACTGGTACTAACAGAAAGAAATAACAGCATGCCACGTCTTCATGTGTGGCTGTGAACTGCTAAGCAAAATACATGTTTTATATGCTGGCATATGCTGGCTGGACTTTTGAGGGTAAGACTTCCCTCCAACTTTGCAGACCAAAGTGGCTATCAAGATGAATAATATACTTTTCACCTGGGCAATAGTCTGGCGGTTCAGAAGCCAGTGATCAAGATGATAAAAGAGCTGATTTTAAATACTAAAGGATTTTGGCTTTATTTTATGTTTGCAATAGGTCAAGGTTCTCATTTTCTCAGTGTAACACCCTGAACACATTCCTCTACAGACAGATCTGTAAATCAACAGTTCTTTACATGGAGTTTCTCCTTACACAAAGTAAAAAGGACCTGAAGAGTGTGTAACTATAACTGCGTTTAAAGCCACTGTTGGGCTTGGGCACTGGGCTGCCAAAGCATCGCCAAAGGGCCTTACAGTGAAATGAAGACTCAAATAATCCTTGTGTTCTCCTGCTTCCCCAATGAAACGCAAAGGAACCAGTTCAGCAAAGCACTAGTCATTAAACAACATGAAAGCATGTAAATATACAACTGTTGCATGATAAGAAATTGAAGTTCTCCCAAGCCCCAACATCTGTGGTACATATTTTTCAGGCCTAAGTAAATAAATGTCACCTTGCACATTTATGTCTATTTAATGGAAACACAGTAGTGTCTGAAAGGCTAATTATTCTGTGCTGAAATGGGTCAGTGCTCTCCAGAGAGCAAGCAGATCATTAGAGAGGGCACAGAAATAACAGCAGGCTTGTGTCAGGTCTATAATAGGGGAAAATAAACCACTCTGTCCTGTGGGTGCTATATCAGGGACTATTTTTAACAAATTCATCTGTGCTAAAGCACAATGATACATTTCGAGCAAAACTTAAAACGGGATCCGAATGTTCACTCTTCTGCAGGAAAGTTTCAGGCTTTTGCTGAAGGTGTGGTGCCTAAAGTCTGACTTGACCAGGAACGCCTCAGGCCTCGATTAAAGACCAAGGATGCTTTGGACACAAGGGGTGTTTTACCTGATTTAGGGTTAACGTGACTAAGGTCTTTGGTTTCACAGGAACAGCACCAGGTGCCTTCTTAGTTGCATATTTTTGAGGGCGATTGTGGAGGAAGCATTTTTTCATCCCTTTTCACGTATGAATGACTTTTTTTTTCTGTCTTGGTCCATTTTCCCACTTTTCACTTACAGTAACTACATTTTCCTCCTGACCAATTTTTTATCATTTCATGACTTAAAGACAGTTACGTTTCCCTCTAAACTTCCTGATACTCTCTTATCCCCTACTTAATTTCACTTCTGTTTTCTGTCATTCCCCTTTTCAAATTTGCTCAACTACTGTCCTCCATCCCCATTTGTACTTTTGCTACATTCCTATTCAAAATCCTGTTCTGCGTGGCTTTGCAATCTTCCTTGCATAAGCCTTTCAAGACACGGGCTTCAACCAAGACTAAGTCATACAAGTTTAAGATTACATGTACACAAAGGGTCAATCTCCATCTCACCTCATTCCATTTCCTCCTTTTAAAGCTCATGATCAATTATTCTTAGCGTTCAAAGAGCACAATTGTATGAATAGCAACTGCATAGATGGATCCTGTGCTCCAGGAGAGGAGAGGAGAGGAAACAGACTTTAGTTGCACTCTGAATGGGATGGGGGTTTTTGGAGGTGGGCTCAGGGTAAGCAGGATAGTAGAGACCATCCACAAACTCATGATTATGGCTGAGATTGCTGAATAACAAGACACAAAGTTCAGACACTGCAGTGATGGATGCTGTGCTCTCCATGCTATCTCCAGTATTGTGAGAGCTGGTTTGGGCATCTAAGTCCCCAGATGGCTCCCCCAGGTAATGAGCTGATTACTTGGACTTTACTGAGCACCCTTGAATTACATCCAGTCCTGCAGTTCTGGGGCATGGTTTCTATCTATGCTCTTTACACACTTCAGTGTGCTTTATACTGCATGCATTCATTAAGGGATGCAAACCAAGAAACACGGGTCTGGAGCAGTGGTGCAATCTGGCTCATAAAACCCCAGAAATCAGAAGAAGCCCTAATCAGAAACTGAAGCTCCTCTTTCTCCTATAGCCATTGGGAGGCCGTAATTCCCTTCTTGTACCCCTGACTTGTTGTACTGTCCTCCACAGAGAGATGACTATGAACAGTTCTGCATTTTTTGTAGCTCAGTTTCTGAACTAGAAAGAGAAGAGGTGTGTGGAGAGGAGAAGGAAGTCAGGAGACTGCGTTGATTCATCTATCTTCCTCGCTGAGGCCCCTTTGTATTACTAAATAACTAGCAGGCATTAGTATTGGACACAAGGTTATATCAGAACGGGCCCTCATTCTCAGAGTATTTGTAATGCTCACACTGTGCTTAGCCAGGCATTAATGATTTATGAGGACTCAGGATGAGTTGCAAAACAAATTTTTTCACCAGGTAATAATGCCTGCCGATGAGTTGTAAAAGGAGAGACAACACAGTGCAGTCCTGGCAGTGAAAAATGATCTCAGCTGTCTCCTGCTAGTCCCTCTTGTGGGCTCCTCCTAATTTTCAGCATTTCCTCCAACAAATGGAATTTCCTGAAACCTTCAGAAAGGGATGTGCTGGCAATTTCCTAGTGGTTATTTATTCCTCTGGTTTCTTTGTTCTTACAGAGCGTTTTTTCTTGGTTTGCTTTTTTTCTCATTTGATTTTTTTTTTTTAAAGAGATCCAGGTAAAAATGAAGTGCAAGGACAGTCACAGTGCAAGGTTTCAGTAGGGTGGGCACTGATGTTCCCTCTCCTCAGCAAATCACAGCAAATGCTCTTGCATTCATAGTGCAAGGGATTTTCCTTCCAGCCCCAGGTGCACACACGCATTGGGACTGCAGAAACCAAGCCAGTCCTTTCGGTCTTCTTCATCATTACCGATGCTAAATCATTCTCAGTCAAAGACGGGTTGAATGTTTTCTTCATAAAGAAGTACACAATAGACACCCCCATGTTCCTGCATAATTACGTCAGCCATATAGCGGTTGAACCTAAAGGGGACTTGACCTGAAACCTGCAACTGAACATCTCTACAGAGCTTGTGAAAGGAAGTGCTTTCTATCTTGCCATTACCAGCCTTCATATCATTGCCTGGAGGCATTTAAACATAATCATATTGAGAGTCCCAGAGACAATATGGGCCAGAAAGTGTAAGTGACTTTCCTCAGGTCAGGAACAGAGCCAGGAAGAACTCAGAAGCTTTGATTCCTGGTCCCCAGCTCCACCCATCACACTACATTTTCTCCCTCTTAACTAATGGACAAATTACAAATTAAACTGAAGAGCCCATAAGCCTTGGATCAAATGTAGGACCAAGAACAACTGTGTAATTGTGTAGATCAAATAAAGGGAACAGAAATTATACAGTGAATCTTTTTTTTTTAAATACTTATGATCAGAAATAAAAATGAATGAAGAACTTATTCCCCAAGTTTATTTATTCTGTATTTCAAGCACAGTGGAGACTGGATGCCCAGTCAAAGATCCTCTCTAATGCACATTTCTGTGGCACAATGGAAGCTCTCAGGTTTCTTTCCACTTTTAATAAAGAACTCTTTACTTAAATTCTAGTAGCTAAGGCTTTAAAAGGGGGCAGCAAGAGCTAAAATATAATGAGCTGAGAAATACGGAAGAACACTTTTTACAAACAGTGTTTTTTAAAATTTGCTTGGAAAAACTACCCTATTATAAAACTGAAAAGGCTAATTGATGAAACATCACTAATTATTCTTGTGAAGAACATGCAAGAGACCAGTGCTTGCCCAGACAGCCTCATGCTTTCATGATTGGGACAGAAAATGTGGGAAAGCCAAGAAAAGTTACCAGAAGGAAAATCCAATTACTTTCTTGCCTTAATAAGTAAGGAGATTAATTTCCAAGGTTATGCTCTAGTTACGTAAAACAAACATTTTAACCATTAAATGCCAGCACTGCACACACTTGCTTATTTTGATAGACAGTGGTAGAGAGTGTGTAGCTACAAGAAATTAAAT